CTATTGCTACTGCTACTGTCACTGCTACGAATAGTCCTAGTCCTAGCGGTCCTAGCGCTCGCGCTAGTGCTAGGCCTACTCCTACTTCTACTTGTACATCTCCTCACCTTCCCTCCTCCTCCTCCTACTCCTTCTCCTACTCCTACCCCTACCTCCTACCTTCCTTCTGCTTCTGCTGGACAGGATCTCACAGCCTTGGACAAGATGCTCAAGGCCGTACAGGCATGCAAGGGGGAAGCCATCGAGGGGATGCTTCAGTGATTCAGGACTTAACGACTTAGGGTTCAGACGTAAGCCCCCGTAAAGGTTGCATCATTGCCGGTGTGGCATCATTAGGCGTGTGAGGCATGTAGGGTGCGTTGACGGATAGAGTTAGCCAGGCTCGTCTAGCCTCATAGGATTCTGAGCATTGGTATCACGCTGCATATGATGCTGACAATGATGATAGCGACAATGACAGCGATAATGAACACTATGATGACGATGCCGCTGCTGATGATGAAGGTCACCATCATGATAATGGCGATGGGGATGGTGGTGACGGTGGTGTTCCCACTCAGTCTCATCACAATGCCGTCTGCGGCAAGACTGTCAAATCAACGGCACTGGCATCAGGGATATCGTTTCACTGATTGCATGAACAACAGTACTAATGATGACAACCAGTAAAGGTACCTAGGGGCCTTGGTTGCCGCAGAATGGTAGAAGAGCGCTTGCCGCACACTGGATCGGAGCAGCAGTAGCAGCCGCAGCAGCAGCAACAGCAGGAATAGTAGCAGTAGTAGCACCAGTACTAAAGCGAGTTCACGTACTCGCACTCCTTGGAGTCTTGGACAAGTCATGCGGTTGCAGTTGCAGCCCTTGCCACATGAATGATGGCACCAAGCAGCCTCAGCATCAAGAGCCGGAACAGCCGGAGAAGTAGCCGTTGGAAGAAGCACTGCTTTCGTCCTCACAGAACAAATCTTCAACCGTTGTGCGTGTGAATGTACCTGGATACTGAAAGAACTGACTGGTATTGCTTTCGTAGGGGAATCCAATAAACCACACGAGGCCTTCAGAGGCTCATTCCCAGGTCTCTAGGCTGAAACCCTTCACGACGCGTTCTCAGGGGTGAGCATAGCTAACCAAACAGCTGAAGACACCGATATCGAACTGACCTCTCAGATCGTTCTAGCCCATCGGTATTGTCGAGTTCACTACATCCCAAAAACCTGGTTCAAGAAGACTGTCGGCTCTTGCGCAAAACGTCCGAGGTCAAGCGAAAACAGCTGGATAAGCTGAACAAGAAGCTCGACAAGCCGGAGCCCTGAAGGGCTCAGCGATTCTGTCAGATGGGGGCCTACAATGTAAAAACCACTAGTATTATTCCGTAGGGTCCTTATCAGATTATGATTGTGCTTCCACTGTGGCATATATCATATTGTACCAAAAAACGTAATCCTACTCTCATTGTCGAGGCTCCTGTATCATTGGGTTTAGACGCTTCAGTTCAGGGCTGCAGATGCTGGTATCACTGGTATTACCCTAAGGGTCCATGTACCCAAATAGTAGAACATTGGCCTTAATGTAGTCCCTATATGGGTACTTTAGGGCCAATGTTCTACTATTTGGGTACATGGTGTTCGATGAAAGCGCTTGCCCAATTCAGACGTCCGAAAGCGAAAATGTATACAACCTGCAACTTCCTGCAAGTTGTTTGTCACCATGCAAAGTTCAACACCCTTAAACCCTGACTCTGGAGACCTGGAGTCGCATTACTGAGGATGGAGAATCTCTCCGATCGGGTGTCAGAAGATCGAGCGCTGCTTCAGGCATGTGTGCTTGGTGTTTCGACTGAGAGGTCGCTTGTGTTCAGGTCCCAGGTCACAAAAACTACTGCTTCCATCTGGTCGATCTGTGGCCTTTCGTTGGTTGGCGTTCGATATTCGTTGAATCCACAGCTCATCACGAGATGCAAAGGTTGCTTTTGCGCTGTGCCTCTCCGAGTGCATCCGCAGATGTCTCTGTCTCCGTCTGTCTGTCTCGTCCTGCCTCCCCCTCTCTCTCTCTCCCCTTCTATCTCTTTTTCTTCTTCTTTTCGTTCCTTCGTTCTTGATTCATGTTTATGTGTGCGTGTGTGTGTGTGTGTGTGTTGGTGTGTTGCTCTATTTGTGTGTTTGACTGTGCTCGCCCTTCTCCGTCACACAAAGATGACCAGAAGCTTCTGCACCTGCTTCTTGAGCAAGCGGGGAGTGTGCAACATCATCTTGAGAGGCGCATGGTGGCTGCACATATAGTCATAAAGTGCCTGGTGATGCGCATACACCGATTACATGTGTATAGCTGCCTATCGAAGTGCAGCAGTTCAGAACGGGCATCTGCCAGACGACTGGTGAGTATTCACCTGAGCTGTGGAGCATGACAGACACTTCTGACGAATGACCCACTTGCCAGATGCAAATAGCGCTCAACAATATGATCGGCAACGACCTGGAGCTTTGCGACTGGGCGTTGAAGAACGAGGCTGGGCTGAGCAGACCCTTATCCCTAGGAGCTGAATGCCAGATGTAAGAAACACCGGCCCTCAACATGCACACCGGATGGGGGCCTTTGTTTGTAAGACTACGGACAGCACACGAACATAATTGCCTCTCTCCTCTCTCGCTTATCTCTCTGGCCTCCCTCTATCGATATATCTCTCTCTTTCTACATATCTGTAACATAAATATATGCACATACGTACATACATACATACATACATACATACATGCATACATACATACATACGTATACATTTATACATGCGTACATACGTATATACATACACATATGCATATACATATACACATACCATGTACATGTATATATATATATATATGTGATATATATATATATATATATATATATATGTATGTATGTATGTATGTATGTATGTATGTATGTATGTATGTATGTGTGTATATATATATTTCTATATACATACACGTAC